ATCTTCTGATACGTCAGGATGTAGGTGAAACTCAAGTGAATAAATGAAATATCCTTTTGAACTATTTGATTTATGATCAGTACCTGATCAAAGATAGTGTCAAATCCAGCTAAGATAACGAAACGTCAATGCCTTAAGTTTTATCTTTGGGTTAAACATAAAATAATTTTTTTTTTTTAAAGTGATGAACAATATCGTTTATCCATCCTGATTAGGTTTCTCACTAAATAGGCCACTACTACAATCCTTAAAAGAAACCTTAGGAGGGTTAAAGATCGCTTTTCGTACTTTGGATAAAGCAGCATTCATCCTTCGTAAGTTAAAATTTTATTTCAGTGGCAAGTGGCCTACTTGCTACTGAGTACATTAATGGGTTTATAGCAAAAGAGATTGGTAAAAAAATCATAAGATGAATTGATTAAAACCGGGAATACATTCGATACTTTGAAGTTCAAATAATTGAATATGACAAATTAAATCTCTTTGACTAACTTAATTTGATGAAAAAGTCTTATGAAAACGATTTATCATTTATTGATCGACTATTTGTCAATAGAGCAACTTGACTCATTGTGTCATGTGGTCTAAACAAGGAACTTACGAAGATAAATACATGGCCAATATAAATTCAGAAACATCATATACAAGCAGCAACAATGGTATTCAATGTTTACGACGAAAATGTCAGCACTACCTAAATTATCTGACGAGAACATCGACCTCTGAAAGGCATTATACTGAGATCGTTTTTAACAAATATACCCTTCAAAATGGTACGCCAAACAAATTATTAAACAATCTTGCTAATAAGGAACATTTAAATCTACATTTAAAAGAGAAATTGGAATATGAGGGAATTGAAACAATAACTGCTGGAGATGATGTCAACGGGCTGATTGTGGAAACAGCCATTAACAAGTCTTATCAGAACAAGGAAGTGGCCTTCATTAGACAAGATACCGAGTACCTAATGCTGCACATAGCTTTTGCTTTCGAAGATAAAGACATCTAATTCTTAAGAAATATTCAGAAAATCGTAAGAGAAAAGTTGTACAGTTCGTACAATTTTCAGTCATTGAAGGTTTTAAAGAATTGAAAATAATCCCAACTGTTGGCTCCTGTCATTAGTGGCAGTTATATTACTACCACTTTTTTTAGCAAAGTAAAATCAAAAACAATGATCTTACATATGAAGAGTGAGGATTTGGAAGAAAAGTATGTTCAATAACGCTCAATTGATAAAACCAGAAATTGCAAGTACTATTTAGATACATAACATTCAACAAATGGGTTGTGCAATCAAATCATGCTGTTATTTTAGCGAGACTGCCTCCAATATGTGCTGCTTCCTTGCTACAATCTTATCTTGTGTTTCACCAAATTCTGATTTGGAAAAGGGAGAAAATACGTCACAAACACATATTTTTAGAAAAAAAATAAATGATGAATTGTCACTAGTTTATACGACTGATGCACCTGCCCTAAATTCTATCCTTAGCTGATTGTTAATTAAGATGCTGCTGAAAACGATGTGGCTGTGTTAGTCAGACTAAGTAACTTCAATCATGTGTTCTAACTGCCATGGACAAGGTAGCCTGAACTCAGTGAGCGAAGATTTTATTGCAAATAATCACAACAATTATTAATGTTACTTCCATCTTCATGTCGCTATTTAATTTTAATATAAGTTCTTTGAAGAAAACATAAATTTTTACCAATACAATTTTGTCATAAAACTAACAATTTTCAGATATTTGCTGTGAAATGCCTTATAGTAATTTTTATCAAAGTACTTAAAATTGTCCTCATTTTGAAAGTTATGTAATTTAAACTTGTAAGTACTTGGCAAATTGTTAATAGAAAACTTATAATGTAGAACTTTATGAGAAGTATTTTAGTAAGTAAGTCAAATTATTAATAGAATACTTTTAATGTAGAATTTTAGGAGGAATATCTCAGTAAGTAAGTCAAATTGGATTGGCTTCACATTTATACCGACGGATCAGCTGAATCAGCCGTTAAAAATGCTGGGGCAGGAGTTTACTCGAAAGAGTTTCAGTTCAGTGCTGCGGTGGGTGAGGATGGTACGAATTTTGACGGTGAGATAGCAGCGATCCTCATAGCTCTAAGAACACTATCAGGAGGCAAGTTCAGAACGCTGTTCTCTTTGTCGACAGCAATCCTCGCCATTACTGACGTGAATAAATGTATGTCGAGTGCTACCTTGGAGTGCAAATCCCTTCTCTACTATCTAACACTCCGAGGCACCGATGTGGTCCTTCAGTGGATTCTGAGCCATTGCGGTATTCCAGGAAATGAGGAAGCGGATAGTCTCGCCAGGAGGGGAGCAGAATTGCTACAAACAGTCCATCCAAAATCCTACGATTCAATTAGGGCGAATGGTGAGGATGGTAGTGAAGGAGGAAACAAAAAATATGCACAAAGACAAGGTGGAAGGGAGACGTTATGGATGTTTGATGGAAATCCCAACTTTAATGTATAATTTTATGAGGAATATTTTTATTCCTATTCATTATTTCTCTCCAACCAATGAATTTGAAGTTAAATGAGGAAAACTGACACAGAATGCCAATCGTGTGGAGTGTGGTGGTTTTTCAAAATACACTTCTTAGAAACAATTAGGCTCTACAATTTTGGACTGGTCCACTTTTATCCTAAAACCAACCAATTTTGAAAATTTGGTATTTGCTTTGAAAAGCTGTAATGAAGTAATTTATAGCTTTAGCTATGGGCTTCAAATATTTCTCCACATTGGATGCTTTTTAGTGGACATCAATAGGTATTAGCCAAATGCAGAATTTTATTAGGAATGTTTTGTTCCTTTTCATTATTAACATCCGATAAATGAATTCAAAATTAACTGAGAAAAAATGACACAAGTGTCAAATGTGGTGGTGAGAGGGGTGGTTTTCTCTGAAATAGGAGAAAGGATGGACGATTCCGACTACAGGCCGGAACGGAACAGAACGAAATTTTCCACCACTGGGATTCGTTCCGAACAACACCTGAATTGCGATGGAGAGCAATGAAGCTAGTATGCGTAATACTAAAACAACTGAAAAATCATTGAGGCTGAGGAAAATGATGATTAACAGAGAGGAGTACAGAAAAGTGATGAGAAAAAAATAAAAGCTGAAAGTTTTAGGAACATTGATAAGAGCTCGAGAGCAACATTCTCCAAATGGGTCGCCTGAACCAAAGGCAATGATTGAACTCTAAACAGTTACTTAAAATAGAATATTTTATACAACAATGAGGACACTATTAAGTGGTGTTTCGCTATCCACAAAAACTACCCTAATTTGTACATCATTCACAAAGAAATGTTGAGAATAGTGGCCACTTCGGTTCCATGTCAATTAATCTTTTCAAAAGTGGCATATTGATTAACGAACCTCTGACTCCATTATTACATGGTAAAATAAAAATAACTGTTTTTAAATTTCAATTTTTTAATTAATTTATAGAAAGTTTTTACCGTATTGGTTTTTAATTCATTCTAAATTTTATGTTACAGATTTGTTTGTTTTTGTCTAGATTTTTTTAAATAAAACTATTTTTTGGTTGGTAGAATTCATGTACTTATCTTAATTTCCCTTAAATATTCCTTGACCCCAAGTTACAGAAAGATATTAATGAATAAAAATCCATAATTTTCTTTTTTTATTATATACACAATTTAATTAATTTAATACTTACTAATTTAAACTAAAAATAACAACACACGTAGACACTTTTATCCTTACCATAATCATTCCAAACCGATGCTAGAATGAAATCTCAGATTGGAATGAAAATGCAATGTAATCGAACCTAAAAGCATTCACATTCCAATGAAATGAGATTCCAAAGCCTCTTGGAAGGGGAAAGACGCTTTCGAGTGAAACTATTCCGAACCGTTCCAGAGGTGGGATTGTTTCAACGATTCGGTTCAAGAAATTTTTATTACACCTAATGAGACTGTTAATCCTGTTTCTTCTTTGTTCTGCCATTGTAATATGACTTACAAATAAATTAAAAATAAAATAATAATAAAAAAAGCCAAAATTTAATAAAAATAAATATTTTTTTTTAACTTTTAAAATATTTATATCTTTCATGACTTTTATAGGTAGCTAGAAAAAGTAAAATAAAATAAAATGTATAATCTTAGGTTTAAATAGACCAATGATATAAAATTTTCTCTGAAACATTTAATTTGCACAACAGAACCACATATTTATTATTATTTTAATAGTTTGTCTGAATCTTGGTATATTTAATATTTTTAAAATTTGCAAATTTCTATCTTAAAATTATGTTTAGGATCTTATTATATTTTATTTAATTATATTTCTTTATATTTAATGAAACACTAAATTAAATTTAGTCGTTATGGTTCACTTTTAAAGCAAACAACCTATTCGACTATTCCGTTGATCCACTTTGGTGACAATCAGCTCACTAACCTTAATTGCTACAAATCCCTTTTGTAACTATTTGACTTTTATGCTGAACATTTAACGAAACCTAAATACATTTATATTGTTAGATTACATTCCGGCGGAACCAAGTTTCCGAGGGTCTTGTTGCTTTACGTCCAGAATGGTCCATCCGTAATTAGGGGATGTTTGATCCTTTCGAAAGGTAGGAACACTTTTTAGTTTTATTCCTGATCTTGGATAAGAAAATCTCTTGAGAAGGGCAAAACTTTATTTATTTTCCGCATAAAACCTTAAGTCGTGCGACAATGAAGACTGGACAGAACGTGACCATTAACCGAGCCAGTTCTCCACTCCTATAAAAAACAATCATCAATCTCTCACTCCATCATCTAGCGCACAATTATGTGCTAAGTATAATATCAAAGTTAAGGATTAAATTTAATTCACCCTCATAATAATGTTTCCTTTTATGGTATGGTCCAGTATCATTTTAAAAATGATTATTTGCATTTTATTATTTATTTGTTAATTTAATCCATTTTTATTTTTATATAGGTACGCTAAAACAGTTGGTGCTATACATTTTCATACTTCAGCAAAACTTAATACTGGAATTGAAGATATGTTTTTAGAATTAACACAAAGAATGATGCAGCGAGCACAGGAACAAGAATTATTGAAAGCAAATGAATTGAGTCGATCCAACAGTTTAAGAAGAAATATTGTCATAATGGATGATGACGAAACTGTATCAAAACCACCTCGGTCATGTTGTGGTTCAAGTACAGCATAAGAATGTGATACTTTAAACTTTTTGAGATTGTTAAGAACTGAGAGTTTATTAAAAGTATTTTTATCAAGAATCTTCTATAGTAAACATTTTTTGAATTTATACAACTTAATCTATGGTAGGATGCTTAATTTTCGGTACACTTTCATTACAGTTCTCATTTTGACAAAAAAATATAGATTTGTTTTATATGTTATTTAACATGATGAAATATAAGTTTCAAAAAACTTATATTGTGTTGTAACAAGTTATGATAACTCATATTACAATAAAATTATTTTATTTTTGTAAATAATGTCATGATGCCATTGTTTATTAACCTAGTCTTTTTTTTTTCTTTCCTTATGTACCAAAGTGTTTTTTGTCTCATATATTAGAAGAATTCTGTATATATATATATGTAATAGTGCATAGAGATCATGAATGAAATGTTTTTTTTTTTAATTTGATGTTTTATATTATTATTTTTAACATAAATATTTTGTATTGATATCTTTTCAATTGATTCCTATTTTTATCTTATATGTTAACTTTAACATAATTAATACTTACTTATGTCTATTATGTTATTTTTTGTCTATTGTATCTTTAGAAGTATGAATAGTACAGGAATAAATGAAAAACTTCAACCATATAATTAAAATATTTCTTTTAATTTTTAATAAATCTATAATAGTTTTTGGTAGGTAAATATAAATAATTTTTAATCCAAAAAACACTTTTTGGCAGTGGCATGTTCTGTGGATACTTTTTATTACAACATGGTAAAAATCAATATTTTAATGAAAAACAACCAGCTATTATAATTTAAGCAAAGGCACATATATGTTCTAATATTTATTTCATAAATTTACATTTGTATTTTGTACAATATAAAAACTTAAAATGAAAGTTATCTTTAAATTAATAATTTACATTGCCTAACAAGCATAATTAAAAATCTGTATGCATATGTTACAAAGTGTTATACTAACAAGTGCTCAGTAGTGGTTGGGTCAAGCAATATTATTGCACAGGCTAAGAACATCATTTACACCTAATGTTTCCTTTTTACTCCGACCCAGCAAAGCTATCGTAGTTGTAACAAAGTATATACCAACTAAATAACATTAAAAGTACAACAAAAGTAAAAAAAAAAAAAATATATATATATATAGAAAAAAAACTAAGGACTAGAAAACAAACAGTAATTTAATATATATACTTTGGAACTATCAATTAATAGTTATTTTAGTAAACAATTCAGTTTTTTTTTTATTTTTGCAAGGAATGAGTGCATCCTCAAGCAGTGTCGAACAAAAAAGTTAATAAATAAAAACCCAAGGTTTGTGAATAAATATTTACAATGATATGCAATATAAATAAATATTAGATGAGAAAGACTTACAAAATATTGACAATTCATTATAAATATATAAACATTTAGAATAAATTTTAATATAGTAACTATGTTTACATGATTTAATATACAACTTTAATACATAGTATAAATGAATGGAGATTTATAAAATTTTAAAGATTTGTTCTGATTAGAGAGCAGTAATTAGCATGGAATGCATTTTTTATAAATGTTAAATTTCAAAGTTTCCATTCATTTGTCAATAAAATAGGCTTCATCAAACAAAACAGGTTTAAATTAATACAACATGAATGATGAAAATGCCCTCAATAAAAATTAAAATACTGTGAAATTAAAATTGAACTATGTATACTTGACAGGTCTTCAAATTTACTTTAAAAAATAAAAATCACTGACTATGATTGGATACAAACAAATTTCATTGTATGTAACAATCAATAAATAATAATCTTTCTCACTAGATGACAGGCTCAACACTAGAAAGTGAATGAGCAGCAATACATACTTAAATAAATTTATAACAGCTGTACACAACGAAACTAAATAATGAGATTATGAACACCTAAAAAAGAAAAGGAATAATGAAAAAAAAGCAAAAGTCATTTAGACAGTTTGCTTATAACTCGTATTAAAGCCCCATTTTCATCCTTTAACCTCTGGTTTTCACACTTCAGTTGTTCAAGTTGCTGAAATAGAACATTATTTAAAAAATTAAATTTTTAATTATGATAATACAGCATAAGCAGAGCAACATAAAATAGGTTAGTAATTACGTAACAAAATGAATAAAATTGAAAAGTATATCTCTACTAAGGACCTACACTTCGGAATGTAATTCATGGTCAATCATCACTGACCATAGTTACAGGGTCCTATCAATTGATTCTTTAACAGGGCTGCTGCACAGTTCAGTTTTCAATTTAGCTGTGCCATTTGAATACACCTCACTGGCCTGATCTTTACGGATTGCTTTGGGAACCTCCTTAACTAACATTTTCAGTACTTCACTGAAAATCAATTTCCAGAGGGAGGGACCAAGGACAGAACTCGAGATAACCCCCATGCTCATAATAACATTAACATAATTGTTCTTGATGAAAAGAATTTTGGGAGTAGCTCAGTAGATGAATTAACAAAATTTTTATGTAAACATAACAATATCTTGGACTGTATAAAGGCAGTTGGGATAAGGTAGGCTTGGTCTGGATAAGCACCCCTAAGAGAAAAGTGGCTACCAACTTCCACATATTTATATGCTCACAAGAAACATATCACCTAAATTTCAGATTTCTAATGCCCTCCTTAGCCACAAAATTAATCCAGATATCTTTAAACACTATTTTTCCAACTTTTTTAAAATAATTTTTTATATAATTACTAAGCATCAGAAAGATTTCTCAGTTACCTTGTGCCATGAACTATCAACAGGAATTTTTGGATCCTGCTTCCCCATTAAGAACACTGAATACCATCATTGTTTTCTGGGAAATACTAAAAAACTTATAAAAAAAATTAGAGAAAAATTCCTAGTGCTCTACAAAGTTTTGAGCAATCTAAACAAAAATTGTAGAGTTTTAACTAATCCATTTTTCAGATTTTTTGAAGTGATGTCACAATTGAAAAATTTTTAATAAAACTTTTCAATTCTTCAAATTTAACACACTTTATTTAGGTTTTTAATTTTTTTTTTTTTTAGACCTGCCCTTTCTAGAAAACAACGTTTTAAGTTTAGTTCAATATACATCAACATGGAAATAATTGATTAACACATTTAAAAGTAGATAAAAAGTAGTTAGAATCAACATAAAAAATATTAGTTTTCCTATTTGAATGGTGCTTTTAATATTTTTTTTTTTAATATTTTAAAAAGAGATGTACTTCCCCACTAGTAGATAAAAACCAATGTACCAATGGGTGGTTGAAGCAAATTATAGATGGAAATAGCAGCAAAAACTTGATAAAGAAATAATTGCTCCACTAACATTTTGACAGTAAAATGTCACCATCAGCAAAACTTTATGTCTCTGAAACAATGCTCCACCACTTATCTGCAAACAAATTTAATGAAAGACTGTTTATATTTGCATAAGGATATCCAGAACATTCATGCCATGTTGGCATGATTCAGACATCATCTGCCAGATTCATATAAGTCAGACAATCCTATCATTCACCTAATTTGCACTGCAAAAACGTCAGAAAAGAAAATCATTTAAACATTTAAGAGGTTAGAACATTTTGCCTTATATTGTCCATGAGAAAAGTAGTACATTAGTCTGTGGGCCAGAGCCCCTTACTGTGCACTCCTCCCACATTCCTATAAATTGTGTATTGTTGTGTTCCTTGTAACTATTTATTAAAAAAAAGCTAATGTTCCTAAAAAAAAAATGAACGAACTGTCCCAAAAAGAACGTCCAAACATAGCCGACTGAGGGCTTTGACTTTAGTTAGTTTTTTGGTCACTGAGAATCAGCATTTGGCTTAATTTCGTCATAGTTGGTCTTTTATTGAAGCTGGTTGGTCTGATAGCCAGAGAATAATAAAAAAATGAAAAAATATTAAAATGTAATTGGCTTAGGCAATAAAAAACACCGGTAAAGTCAATTTTTTTACCAAACATATTTTCAAATTGAAAATCAAGCGTCATTTGTAATTAAACAGCCAACAATAACGCAACACGTGCTGAAATAAAACATCTGGAGAATATATTTTTCTTTCCAAAACCACTGATTACTTTTAAAAATATTTTATGCAGTTCCATAGAAAATGTACTTAAGCAGAGAAAAGCGGTACTAGCGTGGGTGCCTTCAGGCCTCTACCACACCATTCAGTGATCATAAATGGCTTAGTTAGAGTGCTATAATAACGTTTTTGTACATTATATTGATTGTATTAACGAACAAATATTAATGCAATAATTTAATTTTTTTTTAATTAAACAATTTTTTTTTTAATTTATTAATATTTAAAATTTAATTTCCTTTATTCTATATGGAGGTCATTTAAGAAGGCCTCTATTGTAATAATGATATAATTATAATACTAAAACTTAATTAAAAAATACTTTGCTGAATATCTTGAATTTTTTATTTAACGTTAGCAATTTAATACTTTTTTTTTTAATATTTAATTATTCTTAGAGGTAATTTAAATTGTATATACTTCCCCGACGAAATAATATATACCTAATCTGAACAACATGTAATGAATCGTTCATGGTTTAGTAAAACTATTTAATAAAGTTTCACTAATAAAATAATTTTTTTTTCCTTTATTTTGTTTGGAAGTTGGACCATATCATAAAAAAATAGGAAATTTTAATATTGAATGCATTATTCTCTCTGCATAAAGAAGCTATAAGTTCTTCTAGGTAACGGGAACTGGTTGTTAGGTTAGTATTTGGTCTCAAAATGAAGGAAAATGCGAAATTGAGCCCAAAAATTGGAAAAATAGATATATATAAAATAAACTTTCTTCTGGGACAAGGTCCCTTACAAATAACAGTTATGAACAAAAAAATAAAACTACATTTGGCCAAAAATTACATTAATCAACATTAAAGAATATATACAGTATCTTCAATAAAAGAATATTAAAACAAATAAAAAATAACACCATTTTGAAAAAACAAACAAACATTATTTAAATGAAAAAAAACAAAACAGAAATTAGGTAAAAAAAAAATAACAAAATTATATAAGAATGGGTTGATTTTTAAAATTAAAACTCAAACAATTTCAACAACCATTCACCTCAGTCAAAATCTGTTTCACAATATTTATTTCATTGTACATCATTTTGGGATGTGAGAAGGAATTGGTAAAGATGATATTTAAATGAGGACAAGGAAGAGGCATGGCGGATATCAGATGGCTAAGAATTCCAGAAGGCAGTGGATCGGGCAATAAAGGAATATTCAAAAGTCTTATTTCTATGTGAAGGGATATAAAGGTCGGAAACACGGGATCTTGTTTTCTGGGAGTGGACCACGGGTTTGTACAGTAGGTGACTGTAGATGTAGGAAGGGTGTCGGGTGTTGATCGTTTGGAATAGGAAAGATCCAAGGAAATATTGTCTGCGGAAAGAAGGGAAGAGCCACTTTAACTCATCATAAAGGTGGGACTCATGAGACCGCCTTGAAGTACCGAAGACAAATCTTAAACAGGAATTCATGAGTCGCTTCAATCTATCCTCGAGTACCATCAGGATGCCTCCGTACACCACATAGCCATAGTCATAGTCGGGGAAAATAAGAGACGATACAAGGAGCTTGCGAATGGGTTGTAAGAGTAGGTGGCGGGAGTGATGAAACAGCTTAAGGGTGCCTATTGATTTACGGAAGATAAGGGCAATATGGAGTTTCCAGGAGAGGTTTTCTTCTATGGTGATTCCTAGGTTTTTAACAGAGGAGCTGAATGTGATAGGATGATCTTTGATGACTAAAGGAGGAAGGAAAGAGATAGATTTAAGAATAGAACTGGAACCTATAATAATGGCTTGAGTTTTCATCACGTTTAGATTTAAATTATTCAGACTTGCCCAGGCACTGATCCTATTTAGGTCTGCCTGAATATTGGCGAACGCGACTAGTAGCTCAGAAGGGTGAAAGGAAAAATAGATTTGGGAATCATCCTCGTATAGATGGTGTAAACAGTGGTAAATGGATTCAGAAAGATCATTTACATAGGAATTAAAAAGGACCGGGGAAATGCTCGAACCATGGGCCACTCCAGAGGACAGTGTAAGGAGGGATGATAGGGGTTGGTTCCGAATACTGACTGCTTGAGTTCTGTCGGATAGGAAAGACTGCAACCAAAGTATAGAGCTGTTGGAGAAGGATAGAGATTTAAATTTAGTATAGAATATAGAGTGGTCTAAGGAGTCAAAAGCTTTAAAAAAGTCATGAAGTATTAACACATTTTGTTGTCAATTGCGGTATGTAAGTCATTGGTAATTTTTAGTAGAGCAGATTGTGTAGAGAAGCCAGGACAAAAACCAGATTGGAGAGGATCAAGTAGTTTCGAGTTTTAAAGGAATTTAGAGATTTGGGATTGAGCTATTCTTTCCAGAGGTTTAGAAAGGTTAGAGAGAATGGAGATTGGGCGGTAGTCTTTAGGAGAACTAGGATTGGGGATTTTGTTAATAGGTCTGACTAATGCTTTTTCCAAGCAGTAGGAAAAACTGAGTTCTGGAGGGAAAAATTATAGATGAAAAGGAGAACAGGAAGGACTTCGGGAAGGCATAATTTTAACAGTTTGACAGGTATTCCATCAAGTCCGATGGAGTTTGTATGGGATTTCATTATAGAGGAAATAAGGTCAGTTGGTGAAATGTTGGAGAAATAGAAATCATCACTGATAAATGAGGGTGATAAGGGAAACTGGTGAGAGGAGGGTAAGCTGTTGCTGGTGGTGGAAAATATAAAGTAGGAATCTAATTCATGAGGTGAAACCGGGTAGATCGGTGAGGAAGAGGATTTACAAAGAGAGAGTTTACGAAGGGTTAGCCATATTGATTTAGAATCAGGAGCAGAAGAGAAGGTTTCGTGAAAGAAGTTTGATTTCGCTTTCCTGATCGTTGTTTGTGTCAAGTTCGTCTGAAGAGTCTACGGGCTGCCTCACGTCTCTTTTACATGTCACGGATTTCTTGACACATCCAAGGAGCAGGTTGGCGACGAAAGGTTGAG